GTAAATTTTGAAAAGGGGTCATTTGACTCCGCTTGGTACGTTTAGTGTTAAAATTACGAAGTAATATCTATGCAAATGTTACAGCGCGCAGCTACATGTAAAATAAGCGTAGATTTTTGCTCCTTCGAAATTTTATGGAAGTCTGAAGTTTTAGAGAAACAACGCGTGCATAAAACGCTCTTTCCGCGTTTCGCGTCATCGATTTTATTGATTTACATTGATACAGAGCTTCTGGCTACTATTAACTTGCTCCCCGTTGAGTAACTGTTTACTTCACCTACGAGGAAATTCGCTTCGCACGTTTGAAACTGTTACATCTCAACGAACGGTTTATTTAGTTTCCTGTACTGTAAAACAATGTGTGCGGACGTCGAAAATGAACGTAGGCGATAATGCTTGTGCTCACGCGCACGTGCTCGCCTCTCACTATTCCAGCGATTAACTATTGCTCAACCTTTAAACGATAATTTCAATGGAGCCAGTTTACAGCGTGCCGCTCTCCATAAAAGTGGAAATGTTCCATGCAATGGTTTTACAACCCCGTGTAACACCCCGCTCTTAGGGCAATTACTATATTTGTATGATAAAAATGGCATGATAAGCACAACTTATGAATTGTATACAATAAATGCAATAATTACAGTGTAAATTACACGAATTACAAAAAAAGTATAAATTGTATGTATATATATAATATGCTATATAAATTGTTCTATTTATAACGTATACAATACATATACAATATAATTAAACACAATAAATATTGTACAATACCTTGTACAATACAATTATATTGTTTAATTAATTATAGTTATATATAGTTTAATTAATTATATTGTATTTAATTTAACACAATATTTATTGTGTTTTAACATAATATTTATTGTGTTTAATTACATTGTTTAATTAATTATAGTTATATATAGTTTAATTTAATTATATTTATAACGTATACAACACATATACAATATAATTAAACACAATAAATATTGTACAATACCTTGTACAATACAATTATATTGTTTAATTAATTATAGTTATATATAGTTTAATTAATTATATTGTATTTAATTTAACACAATATTTATTGTGTTTTAACATAATATTTATTGTGTTTAATTACATTGTTTAATTAATTATATTGTATTTAATTATGTTTATACAATACATATACAGTATAATTAAACACAATAAATATTGTACAATATTGTTGTACAATACTGATATTAATATTATTATATTACAATACATTTATCTACAATTAATTTTTAATTGCAATTAAATACAATGCATACAATATGATCAAATACGGCAAATATAAAACATACTTTACAGATTCTATTAATATCAACATATTGTATTACATTGTATCATAGAATACACGAGGTGCATTGAATACTAAAAATAAAAGTATCCCAAGGCTTCTTGAAAAGCGAAATATAAAAATTTATATTTTATAATTTCTTTATTAAATAGAAGGAGCTAATGTTATTACTTATGTAATTTACTGATAATTAATGGCGATTTGAAATTATGGGGGTACTGCAATTTTTTTTTTTTGAAATGTACAGTGGATTTTTATTATCTTTCGTACGAAATAAGAGAGTTGAATTGATTGTTGACGATAAAATTGAATATTACAAGCAAATGTAAAAGAAATTAATGATTATGTTTATGTACCAGTGCTTATGCACGACCCGCCCCTGGTAATAATAATATATATACAAATAGAATAAATTATTCACACGTACTTTGAGATTATTTTCAATTTTCGATCGTCTGAAGTTATTATACCCATATCAAGTTATTGAGTATTTCCGATCGATCAATCGATGACTATACATTCATGAAAAAAATATGTATAACTTATTAGTTATATTATAAGAATGTTACGTCACATCATTACTTTCTCGTAATTGGTCCCCCGCCACGTATTTCCGGTTTATGTAAAAAATGAAGAAATTTGATTGGTTTGTTTCGTTTGCACGTGAATTTTGAATTCCCGGGTTTCCACATTGCGGCTACACGTCACTGCAGCAACTGTGAAGAATTTGAGAATACATGCGCGAATGAAACTATGCATCGCACGTTTCAGGCGCGTCACGTAAGTATAGTTTGTGCCGCATTGCACAGTTCAAAACGTCACCACTCTAAATAGAAATGTTTTAAGAGAAGAAGCGGAAGGGAAGTCGCAGTTTTTCCACTTATACGCAGTGTTTGCTAGTTTGGAATTGTACATCGAAATATAAACGTCTGCTTGTATTTGCGACGTAGAATCAAGCGAGAAAAATGTCATCTGGACCGATTTTGAATCCCGTAAGTTTTATTTTCGAGAGCTGGTTTCTTCTAATAAAGCTGATGCAAAATGATTATCATTGATCCAGAGAGGATATAGTATCTGCAATGCTGATATACAATCGCAATAAAATATAGCTTATCGATGTACTAATTCGACTGTTCTACTTTACATTTTTTTTTACATGAAAATAATATTGTATAACTTAACAATTCCAATTTGAAAAAAAAAAAAATGAGAAATATTAACATTATATAAAGATTAGATCTTTTTCATTTTTTTTTTTTTTTTTTTTTAATGCAATACAATTTAAAGAGACAGCTAAATTAAATTTTAATTTAATTTTTGTATAGTGCTTTGTATTTTAATGAGACTTTTATATTTTTTTATTAGCCAATCCCTTTTGTGGGAGCTATTGAAGGTGGCTTAGTACCTGGAAAAATGGTAAAAGTTCAAGGCAAAGTTCCTGCCGATGCTGTGCGTTTCGCTGTGAACTACCAATTGGGACCAACATTAAATCCAAGAGATGATATTGCCATTCATGTTTCACCACGTTTCACAGAAGGATTTATTACTAGAAATCATATAGTATCAATGACTTGGGGGCCAGAAGAAAACGATGGTCCTATGTGGATACAACCTGGCCAAGAATTTGAGATGCTCCTTTTATGCGACTTTCGATCTTATAAAATCGCCATAAATGGCAGACACTTTGTAGAATTTATTCACCGGTTACCATATGAAAAAGTAACACATTTGGTTATTGACGGAGATGTGGAAGTGCAATCTATATCATATGAGATTGTTCCCATTGATCCACCTCGTTCTCCTCGAGACGTATCTGCTCCAGATGTATCTGCTGCTGATTTTGGACCGCCACGTAATTAAGCATTTTATACTTTTTTATATTTGTTGCTTGACCGAATGAATAATTTTAAAAGTAGAATGCTATTTAATTGTTTTATAGCAAATTCTGTATAATTTTAGCGCCTGGAGGATTATATCCTACAATACAAGGTGGATATGGTCCACCACCTCCAGTTCCAGGAGGTTATGGACCTCCTCCACCTGGAGCAGCCGGTTATAATCCACCAAGGGCATATGGATATCAGCCTGGATATGAAAAGCCTGAGGAAGAAGACGCATTTAGTGGTTGTTTGGATAAAGTTGGATTAGCGATAGGGGGATTAGTTGCAGCAGGAGGCATAGCAGCAGCCGCACATGCTATAAGTGTATATAAATTTCATAAATGTCTTAACAATTAAATTTAACAATAAATTTTATAAGTGTTTTAACAATTAAATGCAGAATATTGAAGATAATGATGTATATTAATTGTAATTTTCTAGAAAAAAAAAGGGGACGTTGAAGAAGATCAGGAAAAATCTGACGCATCCAAATCGAAAACAGAGAGTGAAAGTGGCTTGGGGAATCTTGGTTCTCTTGGCGCAGCTTTAGCAAGTAGCTTAGTGACCAATGCTTTAAGTAATTCACATGCACAACAAGGCTATCCCTCCCAGCAACCAAGCGGTGGTGGCGGTGTATTAGATTCTATTCTTGGAGCATTAGGTATGATACATTTTATGCGTCTAAAATAACAAGTTTAATCAAATTATACAATAATGCTTTTATTAATCTTTAAAACTGAAGATTTGATATACAATATGCTGTAATTTATTCATTATTATCACAGTATGGAATGTTGGATGATGATATAAATGACATCATTGACTGTAAGCTATTTACATTAAAGGTCATAATGAATCATGATAAATGAGTAACATAGATAAGTTTGTATTCCAATTAAAATGTTTGTATGTTTCATAATTGAGTTATAATACTAAAATTTTTATATACATAAGGTGGCAGTGGCGGGCATAGCACAGCACTACCACCTCCTCCAAGTCAGCCGAGTGATCCATTGACAGGGGCCTTAGGATCCATTATTGGTGGTGTCCTTGGAGGTGGTGGAAATCAACAACCAAATTATCAACCTTCAGGAGGTTATGGAAATTATCAACTCTCTGGTGGATATTCTAACCAATCATCAAATTCAGATCTTTTATCTGGGATAGGATCAGCTTTGTTTAGTTCTGCTTTAGGAAGTCTTACCAAGCATGGTAAAGATGTAAGTAATGTAAATTATCTCAAGAATTGTAAATGTTGTAAATATATGAATTTTATTCTAATTTTATAATTGTGATTGTATGCAGAAATCTCTTGAAGAACATCATTCAACACCATCATCAACTTATAGACCAAGTACTCCACCATCTGTACAACCTCCTGCATCTTCTGATAGTCCTGCCTCAGGAAAGAAATTAACTGCCGATGAAATTTCGAAAGGACTAGGTTTAGAAGATTAATGTAAGTTGAGATAAAAATTCGTATCAAAGATATATGAAAATGAAAATTTTATGCTCTCTTATTGATATATAACATAAAATGAGCTATATTATTTTAAATATGATAAGTTAAAACATTACAAATATGTGCACAATATGATTGTGTGTTAGAGATGTTTAATGTAAAAGGCAGCTAATTATATATTTGACATAAAAATTTCAATAGAAAGCATTACAAAGAATGTAATACGAGCTGTTTCAATCTCATGCTATACATAAAGAGATTAATATTTTTTGTATATAGAATATTTATTTAAAATAAATTTGCTCCAATTGTTTTTACGCAATTTTACAAGTAAAAGAAAATGAAATATTTATAATACAATCTTTTCAAGCTTTGTAGTTGACAATTTATAAACAAGACGATATTTTTTAAGATTTATTATATTTTTATAAAAATGCTAATAGAATTCAAATGCATTAACAAAATGTTACTTATTTTCTCTTCTATGCAAAGAATAAAAAAACATACAAATATGTATACAAAACATAAAGTATTATATATCAATAAATTTATTCTTAATGAATAATATCTGTTGATGAACATGTTTCCAATATTATCCCACGATGTGTCTGTAATATAATGAATATGTTAACTATACATTTATAATATGAGGAAAAATGTCTAAGTAAACTTACATTTGTTTCAGATTTTAATGCTTCAAGTTCTTTTTTCTTATTTTGATTAAAAAATCCAATTTTAATTAATGCCAATATTAACAATATTAATAATAAAATTCCTAAGACAATTGATAAAACTATAATCCATGTAGCAATGTGTTGAGTCACTGGTGAACCTAGGAACATTGTAGCAATGATAGTACCATTGGGTTTATGTTTAATTTTTTGGATAACATGATGTGATTCTAAAATATTGACTTTTCCACTAGATAAGAAAAATATAATGTCTTTTTTTTCCATGATCTTTGCTGTAAAAAATTAACAAAAAAAAATGGAGTTTCTTGACATGTTTTAAAAATTAAAAATATACTAATGTATCAAGCAGAGCCTTACATTTAAAGTGAAATAAATAAAAGTCCAATGTAAGTGAAAGTTTTGCAACAGGTGAAGAACTTATAAAAGGACCAAGTTGACATATAATATATGTACATTTTACATTAGTATTTGTGCAATTAATATAAATTGTCCTATTGTCTGGTGGAAAATTGATAGAAAAATTAGTATTCATTCTAAATTCTTCCTGTGTGTACACTTCAGTATTTGTATAATAAATTTCAGATTTATTAATTAAAGTAATTGATGTGGAATTTTCATATGTACAGTAAAATGATTGGCCATCGAGATTGCTAATTGTTTCATTTATATTAATAATTTGTATATCTTCAGCATTATGTTTCCAGTATGTTGGAATACTAATTGTTAATATAACTTCATCAATTGGACTAACTCCAAATTTTTGAATTTCATAAATATGTTGAAATTGAATACTGTTTAATTTTTTATTTTTATCTTCAAGAAAATATGAATATAAATTGTCTTGCGCTTTTCTAATAGAAAATGATTGTAATTACTAAATATTAACGTAGTTGTAGAGTAAATGAAGCATAATTTATCATTATAATAGTAATAAATAAACTACTAACCCTGCAATCACTACGTCAACATCAACATCAAAATATATAATTAAAACATCTGTATTATTGAATGAATTTTTTTTTTCACTTTGCGTATCAAAATTGACCCTCAATTTCACATGATCAACGTCAGATCGAACTTTATTCATATCCAAATCTAACGTTAACGTTTTCTAGTAGAAATTTCCAATTATGTTACTATATTGAAGAAAGTTTGATACTTAACAGATTACATTTTAGACTTACATTTTTTCGGAGTGGGTTTCCAACATCACATATTACTTCCAAAGTGTTATCCGTATAAAAACTTTCCATGCATGAAGGTGATATACTTCCTAATGACAATGTTTTTGGTATATATATGTATATTTTAGCTTGATATGCAGGTTCACCATAATTAAGAACATCTATTTTAAGTTCAGTAGTGAGTGTTGATCCAATGATATATCTGTTACCAGAATTTAAGTCTGTTGAAAGTAATATCTTTACATCTGATGTACAAATATTGTCATCACCACAATCTACAGCAAATGGTAATTTGATTAAATCTTCTGTTTTAGAAAGTAATTTATTTATGGCTACACACGATGTGCAAAAAGCATTTGATTTTATCTCACTGTCATTTGAGTTCCAGTCTTTTTCCAAATTAATTGAGGCAGATATCTCAATTGGATTTATTATATTTTGGATATTTTTCTAACAAAATATAAATAAAATTTATTTTTAAAAATCTTTTTAAAAAAATATTTATTCTTTTAAAAAGATTCTCGTAAAAAGGAATCTTACCTTTAAATGTATTTCAAATTGACTACATAAGTCTTTAGATTTATATAGAGTGTCAGACAATTTATAAATGTTATTATTTTTTTCTGTATTATAATGAGCTCTTCTATATATTTGATCAATTTTCAAAGATTTAACAATTCCTAAACATATTCAATTAGTTGACTATGATAGATTTATGTGTTGTATTGTAGATTTAATATATTAATTTCTTTAAGTTTGATTTCTCGTTTAATTTTTTTTTATAAAAATTTAATTATCTACTTACGAAGATATTTAGGAGCATTTATTCCATCATAATATGCGCATAAGTTGACTAGAAAAGAAGTAGAATTTTTTAATAATTTCTTATTTTCATCGTAAGCTAATTTTGTAGTTATTATTATAACAGGTTTTGATTTTATTAAAATTGCTTGTTCAGATAAATATGCTCCAACTGCAATATCAGGATATTTATCACCATTTATGTCACAAGGTTCGGAAATTGAAATTCCGAATCCACGGATATTTCTTCCAAATTGCTTGCCAATTATTCTTTGACTATACTGTTTAGGTAACCCATTGCTATTGCCATTGAAAATATATATTGCACCACTTTCTTCTTCATATGGTGCACCAACAGCAATATCACCGTAACCATCATAATCAACATCACCAAGACAAGTTATGATAGAACCAAATCTACTTCCAGATATTTTTCCTTCAAATGATTGTTTTTCAAAAATTTCCTACCATCAATGTTTGAGATCAATATATATACATTTAAGTTAAATAATGAAGTATCATAAATTAATTATAAATTCAAAATTTGTGCAATTATATTTAACAAAAATATTGTATTTAAATTTAAAATATTGTATTTAAACTATAAAATACTTCAGTTATATTGCAAAATATGCGTACATCATTTAAAGCAGTAAAAATGTATATGCGACCTTCATCTATATTTTTTGACCAATGTGGTGCTCCAATAATTAATTCATCTTTATCATCACCATTAAGATTACATGATGATAAAGCAGCACCAAAGTATTCACCATGTTGCTCACCAATCAATAACTTTTTTACTTCTAATTTTGCATTATCATTGTGAGAAAAGGTAAATATAATAACAGCACCATGTATGTTTGAAGCTCTAGGAGCACCAGAAGCAAACCATAATTTGCCTTTTATAAAATAACCAGAGGTTACTGCATATCCTAAATAAATAATATCTTATACAATTTTATTTCAATGTTTCATTTCATTTGAAATTAATATTTATCATAATATTAATTAAATATTTGATAAATATATCTCTAATACAAAAGATCAATATTATATAAATTTCATTTAATTATATTCATTTATTAATAAGTACATGTGTATTAGTATTATCAAATTTTGTTATATACATATTATATATATGTAATATATTACAGTCAAATAATTTAAAAATATATCTAAATGATATATCTAAATGAAAAATGAGATTCATATAATTTGCAAATGTTAAAAAAAGTTTTGGATCATTTATATTCTATTGAAGATAAGTTTAGTAATAATACATTTTTTAAATATATATTCAACATTATTATTTAAAAAACTATTTAGGTATTAATATATGATATACAGGGTGGCTAAAAATTCATTAATTATATTTTCAAATAAAATAATAAAAAATTAAAGAACATGTGTTTGTAAAAGTTATTTTTGTTTAATATCATTTAGTATTTCAGTGGTCACCCTGTACTTATGTACTTTATATAATTACATTACTTATGTACTTTATATGATTACATTACTTCCCTTAGTAATTATTATGGAATTATAAGAAAAAAGTGGAAAATGATATAATTGATTATAATGATTATAAAGTGAATGGCAGTAGTTAATTTAGTAATAAGAATTATAAAATTTGTATTCTTATATTATTAATAAAAATGAGAGTTGAAATTAATGTTGTGAATTAATGAAAAACTTTATTTATAAGGAACTAAACTTTATATAAAGTATACTATATATAACTATATATAAAATGAAAGAAATATGTTTACTAAAAAATCTCTTATGTGTTGATATTATCATCTATTATTTGATGTATTATAAAATATATAATAAAATGATTAATTATTAACATTATATAATTTCGAAAGAGAATGTTACTTACCAAAATAGCTGTTTGTATGAATACTTCTTTCGTTTTTAATTGATGGAATTACAGTTTGCGTTTTACCATGAATTGATTTTGTAAGTAATAAAGGTGTGCCTTTCCAATTAAATATACCAGGGCTACCTAATATTAAATCCCATTTTAAGTCATTAGACGTCATATGCATAGAAAAGCCAATTTGACTCATTCCAAAATTATAAATATTCGTTCTTCCATATACATAGATAGCTTCTTGGACTTTTGCAAATGATAAAATGTCTGTTTCAGTTTCTTTCTCAAAAGATTTAGTACTATTAATTAATGACAAATAACAAATGCCATTCATAAACCAATTAGATACATTTTTATTTGTAACATTATTCTTCAATCGTGGAGCACAAACCTATTTAAGTTTATTTAAATAATTTATTTAAATAAGTTTAATTAAATAATCAAAAGATTACTTATATTTTTAAAAGAATGAATTGAATTCTTAAAAAAAAATATATATATATGAAAAGAGAAATACAAATTTTTACATACCATAATTTTAGAATTAGTTTTATTTTCTACAGCAATTGTTGCACCAATCCATGCATTATCCTTAATTTGATTAATCATTGAATATTGTTTATATTTATCATTTTTTCTTCTGTCAATAATCCATTCCTTACATGTCTCGTTAATTGGACATTGAAATACAGTACCTGGTTCAATTACATTTTCTATTATGCTTGTATTTGCTCTTGGAGCACCTATAAGTAGCACAGAATCTTGTCCATCTGTATAAAGTGCAACAGAAAATCCAAAATAACTTCCCCGTTGATGATTAAAAACTTTAGGAATGTTAAATACTTTAGCATTATCAATGTTTAAATTATATGCTAGTACATTATATTGTAAAATTATAAGTGCAAAATTGTAAAATCTTATATTGATTTTAGTTGACGAGATTGAGTATAACATTTTAGGTAAGATGTTAATAAAATGAAAGACCATCGAATACTATTTTTAAAACTGAAAGAATTGAGGTTTGATGCAGGAAGGAAGTATTTTATATCTGTATACCACAATGACATCATAAAGCAATTAATTCATATTTGTTTCATACATGTATTTATACGTATTTCCCATTAAAATTAAGAGGGATCTTGTATTCTTTATATTAATGAAGCAGAGCTATACAAATTTACTGGACAATAAATTAATGCATAAATTTAAGTAATTCTTTCCTTTATTTGTTATAAGTTAATAAAGACGTATAAATGCAGGATTAAATAATGCAATATTCTTAACTTGTTTTCAAAGCTAAACATATCAGAAAAAAATGTATATCAATTTATTGTTTTATTATTCTCCATCACACTTACAAACCATGTCAACAATACACATTAGCTGGATCGCTTATTATAGCTAATGCAGCATTAATTTACCTATAATTCTCGGCGGTGTTTTGCTGGAGTTTCGATTATATACGATTTAATGGTCATATCCAAACATGTTTATGTTATAATAATAAATTGAATCCTAAACAATTGAGACGTCAGTTGTTAATAATTTTAAACATTTAAGACTACTAAATTCGTAATCCTTTGTACCAATTATAAAATATTGTGATCAAATCACAATAAAAATTGTGAAAAAGATTTATTTCTCTGGGACAGTCTTTCATCATAAGAGATTCCAATAAAATATAGGATACATATGAAGGGAACAGAAAAATAATAAAGTCTAAAAGAAGATAGAAAAAATCGCTCATATTCGTGTGTGAACAAACTTAGTATTATAAAAATATACTTCAAGGAATCACAGATTTATTATGTACAAAAGGAAAGGGATTAAAAAGTTTGAGAAGGTAATAGGAGCTTAATCGGAAGAATCAGTTGTAGTTGAAATGGTTTGGGATAAAGGCTTAGATCGAATACGATAGCTCCTTCTTACTACATTCACCTTCTTTCTAAAATATTCTAGATTTTTTAGTTTTTGCTCGTGATCGGAGCTCTCCGCATCATTCTGATCTTTCTGTGCTTGTTCACCAGTTTTTTCACTTGTTGATACTCCTGATGTGATACCACTGTCAGGAGTTGAAGGAACTTTGTTTGATTTGTTCACTGGCATTGATGGACCATCTTTTTGAAGTTTTATTGCATTACTAACATCATTCAAATAAAGCTTCCAATCTCTGTCCGATTTCTTCTTCTTTGTATCGTAATCAATTTTCTGCCGTTTGCTTTTATTTTTAGTAACGTCATTTTTTGAATTACTTTTACATTTTTTATGTTTTCTTCTGTGTACCTTTGTGGACGTATCAGAATCAGTTTTTGAATGCTTCCGTTTGCCAGAAACGTCATTATCTTCCGAACTGCTACTGCTATAATTTGAATGTTTTGCATCCCTCTCAATATGCACAACATATCGTGATCTTCTAGAAACTACACCAGAACTGGTACTAGGCTGAGTCGTGTCAACAGGTTGTTCATCACTATCAGAGTCACTATTAATTTGTAACACTGCACACTTTATTCCGGCCCTTCTTATTTCAGTAATTTTACTATGTTTCCTCTTTATAAATTTTAATTTTGATTTAGATTTACACTTAATTTGTGTATTATCACCATCACTAGCAGAACCTGATGCAGATGGTTCTGATGCTGCAGCTGAAGCATTATTTGCTTGAGCACCACAATCTACGGCTGCAAGTTTCATCAGTTTTTCTCTGCGATATGCTATAAGTCGCGTTATACGATTGGGAGACTCTAAAGGTCTTTCAGGAGCTACACCACCTCCAGAGGATCCGTGAGATGCTAATGTTACTGCCGGCCCCAAAATACTTAACATCAATTGACGATCAGAAGCTGTAGAATCTATAAAACCAAGAAATTATTATGTTAAAAATTATGATCATTTTCGTTTATAATTACTTGAATGTTTCTATAAAAAGAAATTTTTTAAAATTTTAAATTTAGTTTCTATAAAAAAAAAATTAAAAAAAAGAAAAGAGAAGTTACCATCAGAATCTGTTGCACTATAAACTCGTCCAGCTATAAGATTGCTTTCTGAATCACTAGGAGTTTGAGGTGCTGTTGACATATCTTCAGAACTCCAGCCTTCAACTTCACGTTGTACCAATGAGTCAAAAAATGCCATCATTCTAGGATCTTCTCTGGTTGATTGATGGCTATAATCATGAGTCATAAACTGACCACTGCGTAATACCAGTCCAATATATTCGTCATGTGTGAAGACTCTGCGTTGCCTCTCTTGTCTTCCATCATCTCTCTAAAATACAAAATATGAAAGTAGTAGTATACATTATCAAGAAAATTATATTATATTATATATATATAATTACCTTTAATCCACCTAAACAATTACTTCCAAGAGGAAATGGACTCCAAATCTTAATGAGTTTTTCAACTCCAGATGAAGCAAAAATACAACTAGCTTGATTGTATCGCACTTGATTAACAATAGATCTATGACCACGTAATACCATATGTGCAGAATTTACCCATTTTACATCCTCAGAAGGAATTTTCCACATATATAGATTGAAATCATCGGAACCTTAAAACACAGTTAAATGTATGAATATTTAACTAACAGAAAAAGTATATAAAGAGATGTACAATTATTGCAGTTCCACTTACCAGACAGTACATACTCATCGTTATCTCCAGCAAAACAGCATGATTTCATTGTGCAACTGTTATAATACCCAGGATGATCAAATTGACATAAATGAGTAGAAGAGTCTACAGCATAAAGTACCGGGGGTAATCTTCTTCTCAAAGCTAACAATCTATTACCTGCTGCATTAAATCTAACGTTCATGCAACTCTGAGCTGAATTTTCGTTTCCATAACGCAACACTGGCCTGCAAATGTAAAAAAATTATTTTCAACGAAATATCCTAATATTTTTATTTCAATTTTTTACTTACTTCAGAGGTTTTCTTACGTCCCACATACTAACACCTTCTTTAGCATTGGCGGTTGCTAACATCCTAGGTTCAATAGGATTGAACATTACGGAGTGGAAAGCTGTTTTGTACCGTGCTAAACAAAATGTTTCCATAGCACTGGATCCTCGTATGTCGTAAATTAAAACTCTTCCATCGTCGCACGCGCTTGCAAATACATTGTCATTATGTGGATGTACAGACAGTCCGTAAACAGGCTTCTCATGGAGGAAGAAATTCACAACATCTCCCCTGGAACAACAAAAACAATTGCTTAATTTCATGCGATTATAACATACAAAACTGTAATAAACAAGTGTCTCATACGTTCGTAAGTCATGAACAATAACTTGATCGTCATTTCCGGCAGAAAATATTTTCGTTTTACTGCTATCATAACCAAGGCAAAAAATATTACTAATATGTTGAGCTTTCATCACTGCGGGTTTGCCCACATCTTGTATTGCTTGCTCTACTTTCCATAATAAAACTCTCCTGTCATCGCCACCTGTTCAATTAACACAAAATAATCTCGTGCCATGAATACACCCTTGTCTATCACTAATCAATTGATGACTACATTACAAAAACATGTTATCTAAGAGATAAAGCTTATTTTACATAATTGCTTAAAATATCAAACGGTTCGAATTTTCCGTCGACAGGTCCAGTTTTCCAAGTCGACAGGCATAAAACCGTGCGAAAAGAAATGAATCGAATGTAATATGTTAGCTTTTTACCAGAAACGAGGAGGTCCCCTTGATTCGAGAATTCAATCGCGTTAACGCATCCGTAATGCGACAGCAGGTCTTTCCTAAATAGATTCTCGGAACTTTCGAATCTAGCATTGACCAGGCGTTTACAGTAGTCGACCTTATCGTCGATTTGCCTTTCGACGAGATACGAGAGCGGATTACAGTCGGAAGGGCGAGCCATTTCTTTTTTACATATACTGATATGTACGCGAAAACGGATAGAACCGTCGTTTTCACCCTTCGTCCCTTTCTTCCATGTATCCTGCAACTAACGCCCGTAGCCTCTTCTTTTCGGTCAAAGTATCTTTTCGCGATTCCCTCGAGATTCCTGAGACTATCTGTCGCACTTCGAGAACCGGGCGGACCTACGGGGAACAGAGAAATTCGTGGCGCAATCAAACTCTGCGTGATTATTATAGGTTGTGGCTATTATAAGTTCCGTCGTGGCCGATCTTATATTTGTGATCTGTGACAGGCGTACGTCGCGAGTGTATAACCCCGCGAACTTACACAAACATAGGCCGTACGAGGCGTGTATCACGCATCAACGCACTTCTGAACGCAGCCGAAGGGTACGTGGGTATCTACATACACAAAGGCGTTTCAACCCACCCGAACAGATTGTCTTGCTCGAGCACGATCAGCTGATCGCTAGTCAGCGACTCCACGTTGAGGTAATTTTATCAGTTTTTCTCCATTCAGCCTCTTATCGAATATCGCGTCTTCGGCACGCGTATTCTAAATTAAACGACCGCGTCATTTTCCATTTGTATTTCAATTACTTATTACCTTTTTTCTACGTGCAAGTGTCACCCGCAATTGATACCTCAAACTTAGAAAAACAAGGAGCATGGATACGGGCGCCGCATTGCGTGTCTCACGCGTACTTCTAACTGGACCCCCTGGTGAGTCCCCGCGATTTTTAAAAGCTACATGGTGTTCCAAAAATCACCTATTGTTAGCCTTTGCGTATTCCGAATGTTTAAAATATTTTATTTTTTTTATTACCATTTTTTTTTCATTCATTTAAATCGTTCAGTAGGCAACGTGTTCAATTACGAAATTCACACGTTGACTGCTACGATGGTCGTCCGGCGGTACTGTATAAATACTTTAGAATACTTAAAATGAGATTTTATACAATGAATTTTAAATAACATAAATAACTAGATAATATTGCAACATGAACAATACGCGTTCGTCGTACTTTATATTATAATATAATATTTTGTTTTATAGATATAAACAAAACGTGAAAATTTCACGTGTCAATGTACACGATGAACTTATTTATTGTATTTCAATTATGTTTTGTGAATAAAAAAGGTTTATAACAATTTTAATTAAGTGAGTACTATGTTTTAGGTATAGGAAAAACTACGATATGTGAAAAACTAGTTGCAATGATGAAGCAGCAGAATTATAAGTTCGATGGATTTTATACTAAAGAAGTTCGAGGTCCAAATGGTAACAGGATTGGATTTGATGTTGTTTTGGTAAAAAATGATAAAAAATCAACATTAGCACGAGTTGAGTTAGTATCAGTTTTTTGAGTATATAAAACTTAATTTCCTGTTTGCGTGAGCTAATGCTATACTGTTAAACAGAAAGGTAATAAACCAGTCACAACACTCCAAATATAAAGTAGGAAATTATCATGTGTTCCTACATGATTTTGAAGCAGCAGCATTATCCGTCTTTGACTCAAATACAGTAAGCAAAACAGTTTCACATGTTACATGCATATAACAATAATCAATTCATTAATTTCTGTTTTTTTAAAGGACATATTAATTATAGATGAAATTGGAAAAATGGAATTATTTAGTCAAAAATTTCGCAATGAGGTAGTAAAATCATTTTTTGAAACTTCAAACAGACTTTTCATAATCGCAACGATACCTCAAATGCATAAAATACCACAACATTCATCGCTGTTCCAAAAATTTCGTACAAACGAAAAATGTAAGATTATAACTGTGAATCACCAGAATCGAAATAATTTACCAGAAGAAATTTTTTCATTAATTTTATAAGGTATAATCTTTCCTCTTTTCTTTTCTTTTTGAAGAAAAACAATATCGATTTTAAATACATTATAAACATCGTTTATTATTAACAAAAAAACAAAATGTTAGATTAAAGAAATCCTTCCAATCACGTTAAATTTATAAAAAAGTAGTCATCACAAATAACGTGACAAATAGTGACTGGCTGGAAAATTGTACTACATATTCATGCTAAATCGCATATGTATTAGATATTTTCATAATAATTATTATTTCGCAGAAACCACCATTATTCATTAAAGAACAAATTAAAAGAATAATAGGTGTGTTCATTACATGTTCAGCACCTTCTGCAAATATTAGAATATAAGTTAATCTGTTATGAGATCTCTGTTATGAGATCTTTGAGATCATTTATTCAGCTTGTGCGTGAACATTAATATCTTTAATGAACAAGGTGGTTTAATTGAGGGTACAAAATAGAAATGTTTTTTTTTTGCATCATTTCAGTATAATAAAACACAAATTGCTAATGAGGCATTGTTCTTATCATAGACAAGAAAATTTAATAACCTGTTCGCAAGTTGTCAAAACAAGCAAACTTTTTTTTTCATTTTTGTACCCATCAATGTTATATCTTCATTGCATTTATTATGATACAGAAGATTTTCATGTTCCTAGAAAGAATACAGTACTTTATTGTTTTGGAGAAGCCTAAGCGTTTCTTATCTTCTCCATTTCGGTATCAAATATATTACGCACACTTTGATTGGGCTACTCGTATTTAGTTATTATTATTCATTTATTTATCAACAGTACCTAAGATGTTCCACTAGCACATGAATTTTAGTAGAGAATTAGCATATGCCATTGGCCTTACATTTGGATGAGGCTGAAAAAGGAAATCTTTATGAAATTCAGTTAAAAATTACAAAACCTATTAATTAGTTTGTAACATACCACTCCTTCATATGATGTGAAATGAGGTTCCATATCTTTACCATTAAGTGTGATAAAAGCACCTCGGTTACCCATAGTATCACTGAGAATAAAAAAATAAAATTCATATACAATATGACTATTAAATATTATTAATTTTATAAAGAATTATCGTTCTTAAACCAATAATACTCGTTTACATACCAATAATTTGGGGCAGAGAACACAGTAATACATTTTCCAAAGTGACCAACTTCATAACCATCGTTTTTTACCTCATGACTTCTTACAATATAATCAAGATTGTTCAGAGCAAGGAAATTTTGTGTAACATCGGGACCAAATTGCACACCAACTCCTCTTTTACTGGGTGCTCTCCCAGGTTGTGGTTGTGGATCTGACCATAATAATTCACACATTAATCCTTCTTCTGGTGGTTGTCTATTTCTATCAATTTCTCTAATTTCTTTTAACGTAACATCATCTCTTGAAAACAGGCCACCGTGCATTACCTATGAAATTCACAAATATATATGTATACATCATTTATTTCAACATCTTTTTTAGAGTGTATAAAATTTAATTAATTTATGTACCATAATAATAAAAACTTACAAGTATTCTATTGTTAAGACAATGTGCAAGAGGGAGCCAATTATAAACTTCAGTAAATAATTCAGCCATTTGGGCAGAATATTTTGCTTTCACCTCACCATCAAACCCATACATTTGATTCATTGTGGCAGATTCATGATTACCTAAATATTGTATTTTACTATGAATATATATCAATATGTAATAAATTTGTAAAAACATACCTCTAGACATAAAAAAGTGATTTGGATATAACAATTTAAATCCAAATAGGGTGAATATACATTCTACTGAGAAGGAACCTCTATCTACAAAATCTCCATTGAATAACTGTATAACTATTAAGAAATATACAATATAATCATACTTTTACCAGTAATATACCTAACAATTTAACCAATAAATATAAAATGTAATAATATAAAGGATACATATGGATTAGTTTCTGATGGTAATCCATTTAATTCAAATATATTAAGTAAATCATAGTACTGTCCATGTATGTCTCCACAGATAGTAAATTTACTATCTTCAGGAATTGTAATATCAATTAAGCTTGGCTGTGCCATAAACCATGCTTTTACATCTAAAAGGATCTTATAAGCGTATTTACGGTGTAATTTATTTTGTTTCTTATACCATTCTAATAGATCTTGCATAAATTGTAATGTCACTTTCTCATCTTCGAGTTTAGGCCCTGTATATTCATCTTCAATAGCTGTAATAAAAACAATCGCACCAAAACATTTCCAAAGATATTTAAACTCATCAAATATAATATATGATAAATATAATTTACCCATTGCTTCTAAATTAATCATATCAGCTATATTCTTTTTATTTTCCTCCACAGAGATTGCTTCTTCAAAGGCTAACATTTTTAATGTTTTAGAACATTCTGTATATTTAACCTTTGCATCTTTATCGTTTGGTCTTGCTTTAGTAACAGTTTTATAATCCTTAAGAGCTAATTTGAACTTGCCAAGGGACATATGAGCCGCAGCTCTACGATAATATCCTTTCACATAATTTTTGTCTAGTTCAATAGCTTTTGATGCATCCGTAAGCGCGTATCCAAAACATTCTGTTTTTAGATAAGCAAAACTTCTATTCCCATGATAAACTGCCACTGTCGGATTTAATTCTATTGCTTTAGAATATAATTCTATCGCTTTGGTATAGTCTTGGTCTAAAAGGTAAATAATTAAATATATTAGTTAACAATGAAACAGTTACAACTGATGAAATTTCATTTGCTGCCAATGTACAAATCCAGAATAGCTACAGATTAGTCTATTTCACAATGAAATTTCTCTGAATGAACTTTTTTTTTATATTGTTGTCAAAACAAATCAAGTACTACAAAGTTTGACACACCAAGTAAAACACAGTGTGAAATGTCACTTGGATTGAAAGTTATATTACAAATGAAAATATTTATTCAGGGCAGAACGACGTGACAAGTAATAATGATTCTTTCCAAATTCTAAGAATTCTAATGTCAGATCTCGCTTGATAGTTTCGTGATAATTTACATTGTGGATGTTAGGGGTTAGTTTCAAAGGTACACGTGACTAAATCATTATTTTAACA